ATACACGCATACAAAGAAGAAATTTTCAGAGAATGGGATCATACTACTTATGGCACTAAAATTATTACACTTATTTTTATTCAAATATACTAGAAGAAGAAACTGAAGTGAAGCCAAAGGAGTGCCAAGTCTCAGACAGATTAAAGTGTCTATCACAAGAAATAATACAGTCATGTGCTGCATAATGTCTGTTTGGGCAGGCAACGGACTGCATATACGTCCATGGTCCCATAAGGTTATAATAGAGTTCAGAAATCCCAATCGGAGAATGGGAAGTAGTGGATGTAACCAGACATAGTGAATGCAGCAGCTTCCCGCACGCAACACGTATATCTCATGTCTCTTGTGTACAATGTAATTGTGGTACCAGGCGTATAATGGTACAGTACATATATAACCTATAACACATATGTCTTATAGTCACAGTAAATGCCTATGTTACTGGCTTATGTATGTACTGTACTGTACTTTCTATCATCATTTTAATGTGAACTTTCCCTACTTACAAATAAAAAGCTTACCATATAACAGTGTATGCTTCAACTTGTAGGCAGCAGCATCCAATCTCGTGTATCGCACGTCTCCTGAGTGTTGTACCGTTATATCTCTGCTTAATTTTCTTTCGAAAATATTACCTTGAAGTGCATCATGGCTCCCAAATGCAGCAAAACCAGTGCAGGCAAAGGAAAAGTATCGTTTTGGAAGTGAAACAAAAGGTATCTCATATAGCTTTGCTAAGTATATAATATGGTGTTCACACGACGTCCAAATCACATAACGTCCTATTTCACAGAACATATCGTGGATGTTAAGCGACGCATGACTGTAGTTCCTTAAAAAAAAAAATCTCTCTACAATTAAGAAAAGAGGTTATGAAAATCAATAAGCCATTAGGAATCATTTAAGGAACTACTGTCTCTTGTGGTAAAGTCTATTTGTTCCAGTTTTTGGATAGTATAGAATATATTGACTGTCAGTAATGAAAAATGAAATGATTAGCTTTCCCATTTACCCATCCTCTTCCTGATGTTGCTGATATCATTTTTACTTTGTCATAGTCTATGGCATTTATATTCTCTTCTGTAACCATAAGTCCCAGGGCACGTGAGTGTTCCTTTGATGTTTAAATTTATTCACTGTGTACTATGAGTATATTTACCACAGCTTCTTTATTCCTGAGATTTTAATTTTGATTTGTCACTTGGTTGCCTAGATGTCACTGTCATGTGGGTTTTTCAAGAAGGGCTCATTTTCGCATATTCCCTGAGTTCTTTCATGTTTGAGAATGTTTGCCTGCAGCCTTAATACTTGAATGACAACTTGGGCAGGTATAATATTCTTGGGACACATTTTCTCTAGAACTTTGCAGGCATTGGCCCATTGTCTTTTTACATTGAACGTTGCTATGAAGGAGTCTTCAGTCAGGCTTTTTCCCCCTTTCTAAGTGATTGCAAGAGTAATTATTTTCCTTGAGGTTCAATAACGTAACCAGAATGTGCCTTGATATTAATTGTTTGGAAACAATTCTGTTCTTTCTGGTATCTAGTATGTCTTTTCTATCTGCAGATTTACTTCTTCCTTCTCTTCACAGAAATTTTATCTCTGTATAAAATTACATATATATATATGTACATACATATATTCCTTTTTATAGCTGCAGTTTTGTTTTGCATCTCTGTGGTTATTAATTATATTGACTAAAAACTGGTTCTATTTTCTCTTTTATTGTTGCCTTGAGTGTTAGTTTATCTATCTCTTTCTCTCTCTCTCTATCTACCTACATACCTACTGACCTACAGACCAACCAACTGACTGACCGACCTATCTAATCAATCTCACCTTCATGGACTCCAGTTATCCTTATGTTGGACTGTCTTTGCCTGTTCTTTTTATCTCATCTTTAATTACATTACTATTTTTGTCTTTTTACTTTGCATTCACTGGCATTTTCTCAATCATTTTTCCGTGCTATTAATTTGATTTTCTGCCAAGCCTTTTTCCTTTCTTGTCTCTCAGGTATCAGCAAACTCCCAAAACCAGAAAACCAGACCTATTACCATTAAGTCAATTCCAACTCACAGCAATGCCTTAGGACAGAGTAGAACTGCCTTGTAGGGTTTATAAGGAGTGTCTGGTGGATTTGAACTGCCAATATTTTGGTTAACAGCTGAGCTCTTAACTACTGTGCCACCAGGGCTAGCAACCCCCAGGGCACTTATAATGTATTTATTAGATTTCTAATGATGATGCTGTACTTCTCAGTTTGTTTCCTTTAGTTCTGCAGTCTTCCTTCTTATCTTATCTTATTTGATCATCTTTTCTTTGAACTCTTTCTTTATTAAATTTATATTCTTTTATTAAATTTCTTTAAAGTGTGAAGTTCTCCTGGGATTGATTCTGTTTCCTTTAGACTTGATTCTGTCTTTGCCAACTATGTTCTTATCTCTGTTTTTCTTTTTCTCTTAATTTTTCCTTATCCACTTCCCTCCCTTCCTTCCTTCTTTCCTGTAATAGTATGTTTGCAGAGACGCCTTGTTATTTCTTTTTTTTTCTTGCTCAAGCTTGGCAGGGCCAGCAGCTCCGTCCCACCTTCTTTCTGCCGTGATAACGGTGTGGGTGACTTCTTGATACCTGCCCCTCACTGGGCTCTAGTTCGTCTTCTCAGCTCAGAGCTTAGGTTGGGGACTGAGTGTTACTTTTGAGACTCGTTTCAAAACTCATTTGAAACTCAGCAACTTGATGGGCCGGAGAGGGAGGCAGAGTTCACCAGATAGGGGTGTAATCCTTGCTGGGAGACAGGGATCGCTTTCTCCTCTGAACTGCTGTCAGATAGTCTTTATGGAGCTCATGCCGTCTAGAAAGGGATGTACCCCACCCCTGTGGCTTCTGCACATCCTCACAACTTGGCACAGCTCCCCAGAAGTTGGCATGACCAGGCAGTCTTTTCTGCCTCTGATGAGGCCTGTGATATTATGTAGGGGCTGCTACTCTGAGGGCTTTTCTTGAATTTTACAGGGATGTCTAGTCACTGCCCTCAGTCTGCTTCTCTCCAAATTATTGAGAATTCCCAGGATTTTACTCTCTTCTAAGTACAGTTTCTGGGGTGTGGGTCAGCCTTAGAGACTACACCAATCTCTCCATCAAGGAACAGAAAGGCAGGAGAGTTTCCTGATTTGGTTTTGTGGACCAGGCCTGGGAGAGCCTTTGATCACTTCTGACCACATCCCATTGACCAGAACTCAGTCACATGACCCAAACAAACTACAAAGGAGGCTGGAAAACGTACTTTTTCTCTGAGCCCATATGAAAGAGGATGCGGTGAACACATAGCACTGTGCTCCACGGAATCCCTTTTTATAGCTGCAACTTCCTTTTGCATCTCTGATGATATTTCTTATACTGATTCTAAAGACTTGTTCTATTTTCTCTTTTATATGCTCTTTGAGAGTTAGTTCTTTCTGAGTTTAGGGCCCCTCTTTCTTGATGCTGGTTTCACCCTGATGTTTAGTGACTACTAGTTCTATTGCATGGTATCTGATGACTCTGGAAATCTGAGAGTGGGGCTTCTGAAACCCACCTCCAAGGGTTGTAGGGACAAGGGGGTGGGGTGTGGTGCCAGGCAAAGTCTGCCAGTGGCTGGTCTTCTGGGTCTGTGGCTCCTTTTCTTCCCAGGTATGACCAGCCCCAGGGGTGGGGGTAGGGGAGAGGAGAGATGCTTGGCTTCTAACTTTGTGTCATAAGCAGGTGAGGAGTGTGGGGAAGGCTGACCCACCTGGCTGCTCCTACTGCACCCAATATCTTATTCTCTAGGCCCCCCTCTTGCCCCTGCCATACGTCTACTCAGAGACTGCAGCACCCGGACCCTTTCCCACCTTTCCAGCATGACCTTTTTGAGTGTATTTTGGCCTGTGGTTTCCTTCTTCCATCTGCCTTCCATATTCAGGGAGTTTTTATCATTTCTGGTCTATCAAGGATGCCTCTTTGTGCTTTCCAGAGATGTTATGCATTACTTAATTTGTTATTTTTCCAACCAGTGATTTTTTAAAATTGAGATAAAAGTCCTATAATATAAATTCACCATTTAAACCATTTTAAGGCATACAATGCAGTAGTTTTTAGGATAGCCACAATGTAGTGCAACCATCATCACTATCTAATTCCAGAACTTTTCCACCTCCCCCCAAAAAAACTCCCATAACCCATTGCCATGGAGTCGATTCCAAGTCATAGCAACCCTGTAGGACAGCTGGTGGATATGAACTGCCAACCTTTTGGTTAGCAGCCTGGGCTCTTAACCACTGCACCACCAGGGCTCCTCAAAAAAACCCCATACCTCCCAATTCTCCACCCCCTCTAGTCCTCTCGGAACCATTAATCTACTTTCTGTCTCTATGGATTTGCCTATTCTGAAAATTTCATAAGGAGACTGAGGGCAGTGAGTAGACATCCCTGTAAAATTCAAGAAAAGCCCTCAGAGTAGCAGCCCCTACATAATATCACAGGCCTCATATTAAAGTGTACAAGCTGATAAGTTTTCACATACAATACACACCTGTGAAACCATCATCACAGTCAAGATAATGGACACAGCACCCCCAAAATTTCCTCGAGCTCCTTTGTCCCACCATTCCCTGCTCCAATCCCCATTCCCAGGTAACCACTGAACTTCTTTCTGTACTATAGAATAGTTTGCATTTTCTAGAACTTTATATCAGTGGAATCATGCAGTATGTACCCTCTTTTGTCTGGCTTCTTTCACTCAGCATAAGTGTTTTGAGCATGCTAGAAGACCTGCCTGATGGAACAGTCAAACGACCATTTATATTCTTGTTGGACAACCCCTGGGAAAATGCTTTTCTTCCCCCCCACCCCTACCCCAAGAGGTTCCCTGACCCCCCCTTTCCTTTGTCACCCCTTTATCCTTCTCCTGGCCCTTCTCTTTGTCCTTAGAAGACCTCGTGGAGAAGTCGCCCTGCACAACGAACTCCTCCCGCGTCTGTGAATGTAGACCTGGAATGTTCTGTGTCACATCAGCCTCCAACTCCTGTGCCCGCTGTGCTCCCCACACCATCTGCCCACCAGGGATGATTGTCAAACTCCAGGGTAAGCAGTTCTACCCACAGCCCAGACCAAGATCTGGGCCTGCGCTGCTGCACCACTCCGTACCCCTAACCTGGCAGATTACTTCCAGCTCCCACTTCCTCCTTGTTGCCCAGACCATGTCTCCATTCCCAATGACATGGATGCATCAGGCGCCTGCAGCCCTCTGATGCCCCTTCCCTGTGCCTTGGGTTCCAGGCTCAGAGAGACTCTGGTGGCCCAAGGCACAGACATGGCTGGAGGAGGTCTTGGATTGGTTTGAGGCTTGGGGTAGCACTCTGATGCCCGATAAACAACAAGGAAACCTCTGGGGTTCCTTGAGAGATTGGGGCTGGTTTCCTGTCTCAGAATTGGGTCATTGGGAGTTAGAGACTCCAGAGGTTGGGCACCAGGCTCAAGGCTGAGAAGCCTGGGTTGCTTTCCCAACTTACTGGGTAAACTCTGGCAAGTCCCTTACCTTCTTGGGGCTTCTAATTCTCTGATAGTACGGGGGGGAGGCTGTGAGTAATGGCCAGAGAAGGGTTAAGGGTGACAGATCATGTCAGAGAGCGCCTTTGAGAAGGAAAGATAGGGCGTGGGTGTAATTTGGACCACAGCCCCCAACAGGTGCCACAGCCACCGAGGGGCACACAGAGGGGGTGAGACAGGATCAGAGGGAGCTACATGTCCACCAGGGAGAGAAGTCACCTCTGCCCTCCACTGCCAAGACCAAGCCCATGACCCCTCCCCACCAACCTGCTCCTGTCCTAGAGCCCCCTCTCCTACTGCACAAACCTGATGACTAGCAGCTCCTTCCCTATCACCCTCTCCCTCACCCTCTCCCTTCGTTCACCTCCCACCTCCTGTAGATTTTGCCACCTAGCCCCCCCCCCCAATTCCTCTTCCCATTCTTCCCCCATGGCAGGCAGCCAGAGCGACCTTTGCAAAACCAGATCTGATCAACACACACACACACACACACTCTGCCTAAAACCCTTCGGTATCTTCCCATTACTCTCATGACAAGGACACCATCCTTTGGCTAAAGAAAGCAGGCTTTTGTTGTGGCTTGTTTTGTCTGCACCCTTTGGCAGGTCTGGGTTCCTGGCTTCTTCAGCTCCAAGTCTGGGATATATAAAGCAAAGAGAAAGCCCAGGGACTCACCACCGTCATTCTTTGGGTCCTGAGGTCCCTATCTAGTTGGCCTTCTTCGCTCCACCCTTCAGAGTCTTCTTATGTTTGTTTTATACCTAATGTCCAGGGTTTTCAGTGGTACTTAGTGGAAGGAATAAGGGGCCCTGGTGACTCAGCGGCTAAGTGCTCAGTTGTTAACTGAAAGGTGGGCGGTTCAAACTTACCAGCTGCTCCGTGGGAGAAAGACATGGCAGTGTGCTTCTGTAAAGATTTACATCCTTGGAAACCCTATAGGGCAGTTCTACTCTGTCTGGTAGGGTCGCTGTGAGTTGGAATCAACTCAACAGCAATAGATAAATTGGGAGGAATAAGGAAAAGTATGTCTACTCCATCTTCCTGGAAGTGGAGGTCTCAAGGACACGGTTCTTAACACAGCCCATATGTGATGAGGGCCGTGCATCCTCTGGCCTCAGCTTTCAGCACCGACCCTCACTTTCCAGGCTCCAGCAAGCCTGCTCCCCTTTCAGCTCCATGAACATGCCGTGCTTCTTCCACCAGGTCTTTGCACATGCTGTTCCCTGGGTGGTGCAAATGGTTAACGCAGTCAGCTGCTAACCGAAAGGTTGCAGTTTGAGTCCACCCAGAGGTGCCTCAAAGAAGGGCCTGGCAATCTGTTGTTGTTAGGTGCCACCGAATCGATTCCATCTCATAGTGACCCCACATGACAGAGTAAAACTTCCCCATATGGTTTTCTAGGCTCTAATCTTTATGGAAGCAGATTGCCAGGTCTTTCTCCCATGGAGCTGCTGGGTGGGTTTGAACCACCAGCCTTTCAGTTAGCAGCCGTTGCGCTACCAGAGCTCCTTGAAATCAGCCATTGAAACCCTATGGAGTACACGGTTCTACTCTGATACACATGGGGATACCATGAGTCAGAGTCAACTCGATGACAATTGGTTTTCTGGTTCACTCAGCCTTGAGCTTGCTGTCCAAACATGGCTGCCTCAAGGGGGCCTGCCCTGATCTCTCACTAGGTCGCATCTCTCCCTGAAGATCTTTCATTGGAGCCCTATTTGTCTCTGTCTTTGCTTATTGCTTATCTCACTGCCGAGGCTGTGAGCTCCATGAGGGCAAGACCAAGCCACAGTGCTCTCTGTTATCTCCCACTGCCTCACCCAATGCCAGTACCAAATAGGCTCTCAGTAAATAGTTGTTGAATGAATGTGGGGGTACCTTACTGGAAATCAGAGCTGGGGGCAGGTGGGTTCCTTCAAATCTGGCCAAATTCTTCCTGGGTCACAGAAAAGCACTTTGCTAAGAGACACACACAGACACCCTCCACCCACAAGAGGGGCAGGGTGGTTGAGTGGAAAGCACTTGGGACTGGGTGTCAGATACCTGGGTTTTTGCATAGCTTCATATCTATGGGGTATGTTCCCACCTCTTTTTGGGCCTCAGTCTCCCCACCTATAAAATGAGGAGGTGTGGCTAAAAGGCTCTTGCAGGCCTTGCCAGCTCAGAATCTCTTGCATTTCTGTGAAAAATAGCCTCTGTGGTTAAGAGCTCAGCTGCTAACCAAAAGGTCAGCAGTTTGAATCCACCAGCCGCTCCTTGGAAACCTTATGGGGCAGTTCTACTCTGTCCTATAGAGTTGCTATGAGTCGGAATCAACTCGATGGCAACTTTTTTTTTTCAGTTGTTGTACCCAGCGCGCATGGACTAGGTGCTAGCTGAAGAGGCCCCCTGGGAGGTGTTCCTATGACTGCCACGTGGTGGCGCCAAAGGCCTCTCTCTGCTGCCTCTTGCTAGGGCTGCCCAATCTGGTACTTTAACTCACCACCTGTGGCTCCAGTTAGATACCATAACTCATCACAGGTGGCTATTGAACACTAGAAATGTGGCTCAAACCTACCCAGCGGCTCCGCAGGAGGAAGACCTGGTGATCTGCTTCCATAAAGATTACAGCCTAGAACACCCTATGGGGCAGTTCCACTCTATTACATGGGGACACTATGCGTAGTAAGCGTAAAATATGCACTAGATTTTAAGTTAGCATAAAAAAAACAGAAAACATCTCAATAACTTTTTATATTGATTACATGTTGATGATAATATTTTGAATACATTGGGCTAAATACTCACCAAAAACCCATTGCTGCCAAGTCAATTCTGACTCATAGCGACCCTACAGGAAGAGAACTGTCCCTTTTCGAGGCCGTAAACCTTTACGGAAGTAAACTACCACATCTTTCTCCTTCAGAGAGACTGGTGGGTTTGAACCACCCACCTTTCAGTTAGCAGCTGAGCGCTTTAACCACTGTGCCACCAGGGCTCCCTTGGGCTAAGTAAGCATATATCAAAATTAATTTCACCTCTTTTCTTTTTACTTTTTTAAATGTTGTTACTAGAGTATTTAAAATTATATAATACGTGATTTACATCATATTTCTATTGGATGGTGATGCTTTAGAAGAGGTATTCCAACCTTTGGCTGCCGAACCAAGCTGAATTTCTGGATTCTCCTGTGTGCGTTCTGCAGGGCAATTCTCAGGGCCTCAGTTTCCCCAGCTGTAAAGTGGAAAGTCGCTTCTGCTTCAGATTCAGCTCGTGGCTTTCCCTCCAGAAATCTCAACACTTGGCGGGGCAGGCACATCGTCCTAGCCCCATTTCACACTGAGGAAATGAGGTCCAAAGAAGGTAGGTCAGTTGCCCAACAGCACAGAGCAGGGAACACCAAGCCAGGATTTGAACACCAAGCCAGGATTTGAACTTGTGAGTCCACCATGCTGCAGATACACAGGAGAAGTCAGTATTGCTGTGCCCCCCTCCCCTGAAACCTTCAGATCATGTCCTAGCAACGTGTAGGTCACTTTCTAAAAGATAGAATGGGTGTCCGGATGGGAAAAAGGACGTGATATTTATTGAGAATTTACTACGTGCCATGCAGGGAGATAGACACGTGACTTATGCTAGTCTGTTTATCCCAACGACAGCCTTTTGAAGAGTGTGTTATTATCCCCATTTTACAAAGAAGAAAACTGAGACTTAGAAAGGTTGACTTGCCTGGCACAGCTGGAACATGGCAGAGGTGGCTGGCAAACTCAGGTGCACCTGATGGAAAGCCCAGTGCGTGTCCTCCCCACTCTGCTTCCATCCAGTGTTGTGCAGCCCTCTTTGGGTTGCAGGTAACAAAATCCCAAATTCTTTTGGCTCATGTAACAGGGAAGTCTGGGGACAGCGCTGACAGGCATGGCTAGATCCAGAGGCTCTGTTTTTTTCCCATATCTAGTCTCTGCTTCCCTCCTGTATTGGTTTGTCTGCAAGATTCCTTTCAGCAGCCCCACTTGTGTCCTACCAACCCCAGTGGAAAGACAGCTTCTCCTTCCAACATTTTCAACAACCAAACACAAAACCTTGCAATTCCTTCTGAAAGGCCTGGCTTGGGTTTTTTGCCCATCCTGAACCAGTTCCTACAGCCAGAGGAGTGGAATGGATTGATTGGTCAAGCCTAGTCACATGGCTCCTCCTGGAAGGAGGGTCAGCCAATCCCAGCCCCTAACCACAGACACTGAGATTGGGGAAGAGTAATTCCCCAGGGAAGATGGAGCTGCTTCACTCCAAAGTGGGAACGGGTACTTGCTCACAGGCACGAACACCAGACGGTCACCGCGTTTTCCAGATGCCCCACCCCTGGCTCTGCCTTGATTCCGTTTCTGAAGGCATTGCCATCCCCCTGCAGGCACAGCTGAGAGGAACACTGTCTGTGAGCCAGCTCCCCCGGGGAGCCGCCCTGGCTGCAGCACCAGCCCAGAGGACTGCAAGGAACCTGCCAGGTGACTTAAGCCTCTTTTCCTTCCTTCTCCCTCCAGCTGACCTTCAGGTGGAGCTGTCCTAACCCCAGAGGGTGTCCAGGGCACAGCTGGGCGGGGGTGCAGGTGGGGTCCAGCCCAGAGTATTGGGGGGTATCGAGACCCTAGGGTGTCTCTCTGCCAAGCCCACAAGTCACCTGAAGCCTCCTGTGTGCCCAGCCCTGCTCTGAACACTCGGGAGACCCAGAGGCTGGAAAAATGCAACCTTGGCTCCTGAGCAGCCTGCAGTGGACCTGTGGGGGCAGGAGCAGAGGGCCTGGGCACCCCTCTCTGTAGACACTCTTACCCATTGGGAGAATGGCCTCGATTGTCATTCTCATCTTGACTTCTTCCCCACAAGCACCACCCCTGACGCCGTGTCCAGCCTGACCCCCCCAGGCACCTCCAGTGTCAGGACCACACCCCTCGGAGAGGGCCCAGACCACGCCCCAGAAGATGCTTCCAAACCGATGAGGCCTCCCCACTCTCCGTCCTCTGTGGGGAAGCTCAGCCCAGATCCAGGTAATCTCTCCACGAGCTGTGGGTTGTTGCCCAGGGCAACGGCGTCTGATTAGGGGTGACCCAGTGTGTTGTGGGCAGGGACCTGCGGGCACGAGGTTGTGCTCTCTTCCAGGTGGGAGAGAAGAAGGTCTCAAGATCTGATCTCCTGGGACTGATGGCAGCGAGGGCTGAATGGGGGGGCTTGCTCATTTAGCAACATTTTTGGGCACCTACTGTGTGCCAGGCACTGTGGTAGGTACTAGATGTATTGGTCCCTGCTCTGCTTTCATGGTGTTTACAATGGGGCAGGGTGAGACAGGCTTCAGAATGGACACCCTTTGAGGTAGTATATTTAAAATCATGACAGCGATAAGTAAGCCGAAGTATAGAATTCTGGGCGAAGATGAGACTGTGGGGGGTGGGGGGTGGGGAGCAGGGAATGATTGGGTCGAGAGTGGTAGTTGAGCAGAACGGTAAGGAACGTGGAGCCCTGGTGGCACAATGATTAAGAGCTGGGCTGCTAACCGAAAGGTCGGCAGTTCAAATTCACCAACCTCTCACTGGAAACCCTACGGGGCAGTTCTACTCTCTCCTATAGGGTCGCTATGACTCAGAATCGACTTGACTGCAGTGGGTTTGGTTTTGGTTTGGTTTATAAGGAATGCATAGGAATCCCTGGGTGGTGCAAATGGTTAAGCACTCGGCTACTAACCAAAAGGTTGGCGGTTCGAACCCATCCAGCAGTCCTGCGGAAGAAAGGCCTGGCAGTGTGTTTCTGTAAAGGTTATAGCCAAGAAAACCTTATGGAGCACAGTTCTACTCTGAAACATACAGGGTTGCCATGAGTTGTAATTGACTTGCCTGTAATGGTTTTTTTTGGTTTGATGTATGCTTTCAATTCTATTTATTGATTTTCAGGATTTTTTTTTTTTATAATTCTGGGTCCTATAAACAAACAAACAAAAAAACCCCAAAACTGTTCCCGTCAAGTCAATTCTGACTCATAGTGACCCTAGAGGGCAAAGTAGAACTGCCCCATAAGGTTTCCAAGGAGCAGCTGGTGGATTCGAACTGCCAACCTTTTGGTTAGCAGCCCATTTCTTAACCACTGCACCACCAGGGCTCCCTGGGTCTTATGGGTGTGTTGAAAATATCTCCTCCAGCCCTGTGGCTTGCTTTCTCATTCTCTTTATAGTGTCTTTCAATGAAGAGATGTTCTTAATTTTAATGAAGTGGGATTGATTGCATTTTCCCTTTATGGCTAGTGCTTGCTGTGTTCTGCTTTGGAGGTCTTTCCCCTCACTGAAGTCCGGCAATAGTCTGTGTTTATTTTCTAAGAGTGTTACGGTTTTGCTGTTCACATTTAGATCTGCAATCACCTTGACTTTGGTGTATACTGTGAGGCAGTGGTCATATTCCAAGTTGTGTACATGGATATCCAGTTAGAGCAACACCATTTATCAAATAAATTGTTCTTTCCCCACTGTTACGCATATCATCTTTGTTGTAAATCAAGGGCTCATATATGTGTGGGTATGATTCTGGACTCTATATTCTATTCCATTGATCTATTCTGTGCTAATACTATACTATCTTAATTATTGTAGTTTTTAAATGTCTTGATATTTGGTTGAACAACTTCTCCAACTTCGTTCTTCAATAGTGTATTGGCTGTTCGTGGTAATTTGCATTTCCATATAAATTTTAGAAATAGCTTTCAAATTCCACAAAACATTGTATTGGGACTTGGAACTGCACTGAATGTATAGATCAATTTGGCGAGAATACACATCTTTCCAATATTGAGTCTTCTTATCCATGAACGTGGTATAGCCTTGCATTTATTTAGCCTTCTTTAAATTCTCTCAATAACATTTTATGGTTTTCTGTGTAGAGCTGTTGTACATCTTTTAAATTTTTAGGTATTTTATATTTTTGATGATGTTGGAAATGGTGTCCTTTTAATATTTCATGTTCCTACTATTGTTTGTATTGTTTTGAATGATGACAAATTGCCAACATTTGACCATTTTTGATTTATAAAAACAGCAATTTCATTTGGCTCAATCTAATATATAAAAATTCAACTGATTTTGATATAGTGACATTATATCCAGCTACCTTGCTAAACTCAGTATTAATTCTAATCATGTATCTGCAGATTCTTTTGGGTTGTCTGTGTACTCAATTATACCACCTGTGACTACTAACAGTCTGATATCTTCTTGTCCAAACATTATCATTTTCATTTCTTCTCTTGCATTATTTCATTGGCTAGGTAGTTAAGAGCTCAGCTGTTAACCAAAAGGTCGGCAGTTTGAGTCCACTAGCTGCTCTTTGGAAACCCTATGGGGCAGTTCTACTCAGTCCTGTAGGGTCGCTGTGAGTCCGAATTGACTCGACAGCAATAGGTTTGGTTTGGTTTAGGATCCCTAGAACCGTATTGAATAGAAGTTATATAGTGGGCATCCTTGCCTTGCTGCTGATTTCAAAGGGAAAATTGCAGCACAGTTTGGAGCAGGGAAGTGACTTGGCAGTGAGAATGGGGAGAGGGCTCTGGCAATAGTGGACACGGTGGGTCAGAGATGGGCGGAGCATGGAGCAGGGGGGCAGTTAGGAGGTAGATAGTGCTCTTCTGTGTGGCCTCAAGGCGGCCCTAGTGGCACAGTGGTTAAGAGCTCGGCTGCTAACCAAAAGGTCTGCAGTTCAAATCCAACACGTTCCTTCCCTTTCTGAGCCTCAGGGCTCCCGGTGAGAGGCAGGACCAATCTGACATGTGGGGAATTTGGGAGCTAGCTGTGGAGCTGGGGGCTTCAGGGATGGGTTGAGGGGCGAGGCCTCAACCAAGGCGGGCCTGGTGTGGAGTTTCTCTGCTTCTTTTTCCAGGGCTGTCCCCACAGCGGCCATGTCCACAGGGGTCCACAGACTGCAGGAAGCAGTGTGGGCTTGACTACTACCTAGACAAGGCTGGCCGCTGCACGGCGTGTGTGAGCTGCTCGCGAGGTAAGGGCCTTGTCCTCCTCCAAGGGCTTCTTCCGGGGTGGGTGTTGGTTTAGGGGAGCTACAGAGAGTCTGGGGGTGGGGAGCTCTGTATTTGGTCTTAGACTTTTCAGCCTTCCAGAGCTTCAGTTCACCTCTCTGGTGTTTTTGAGCAGTCAACCGTGGCTCCCACTCACGTCATTGGCTTCAGATCCTCTCCCTCATTGCTGATCTCCCTCATGCCCTTGGCACAAAGTCCCCAAATCCTCCTCAGTTCACCCTCTCTCTGGAGGTTGCAAGGAAGACCCTTATCTTTATCATGTTGGGTCTGTAAGTATCTTGCCAGTTGAGAAATGTTCTTGTTGATCAAGTCACATTCTTCTAATATACTGATGCAATAATTCTATTTTCATCTATAAAACAGAGAATGCAAAATATTTCCAAACATATATAAATGTGTTATTATACTTTTTCTTTTGCAAAGTCTCTAACATTTTATTTCATTTTTTTTTTCTCTGCCCTCCCTGCTCCGGGATCTCTGGATCTCCTTCCCTTGCCATCTCTTGATCTTTTCTGTGACCCTTCTCTATGTCTTTAGATGACCTTGTGGAGAAGACACCCTGCACATGGAACTCCTCCCGTGTATGTGAATGTCGACCTGGAATGTTTTGTGCCACATCAGCCACCAACTCCTGTGCCCGCTGCATCACTCGCCCTCTCTGTCCATCAGGGATGGTCGGCAAACCCCAGGGTAAGCAGTCCCCGCCCCAACCAAGGGGCTGAGGTCTGTGTCCCTACTACTGTACTTCTTCCTACACCAGTGGGGCAAATGACCTTCAACCCTGGCTGTCAACTAGGGAATATTTGAGCTGTGGTTAGTCTTTGAGTAATTAGGCCTAGTGAGTGGAATAAAATCCAGGTTTGGTATTTTGAGAAGAGTCTCTGATGATTCTTTTTTTAAAAAATGATTTTTCCTGAAACTACTGGGCTGGTAAAATTTTGACTTATTTGCAAGTGTATTTTATTGACTCAAGGAAGAAGAACATAAAATTTACAAAGAGGCTTTCAACTCCAAGATGGTGGACACTTGTCAGGGTGCAAAAAGTATGAACCCTTGACATTGGGAAAAAAAGAGGGCTCATTAGAAGATGAGAGATTTCAACCAGTTTCCAGAAAGGATGTTCCAGGCCTCGTGTCAGCAGAGGCACCCTGATTCCCTTTGCATACCCCTCCAGTCTTGGCTCTCCCACGCCCCAGAGGACTATTTTCTTCCGCCCTCCCAACATGGATACCATGTGCTCCAGGCCTCACACTCACAGGGGCACCTAACTCCTCTGAGCACCCACCCACCCACCAGCTTTGGCTCTTCTGCATTTCTGAGGGTTTTCCTGCTTGCCCGGTGACTACAGACCAGCTCTGGTGCAGGAAATCCAGAGAACTTCTCTGCCACCCAGTAGGCTGCTACTACATCTTCTCCAATGAGCTCTGAAGTTTGTCTTTCCTTGGGTACCCTCCTTCAGCTGAGGGTACCCTTTAGAGTTTTTGCTACATTTTTATAATTATCCTCCTATTATAGTTTAATAATTCTTCATATTAAACTTCCCCTGTTTAAATTACTATGCAGTTTCTGTCTCCTGATTGTACCCACACTGGTGCAGAAAGTAAGTGATATAATTGCTGAAGTGAAAAGTTTCAGTGGAAGGATTTGAAGATAAAGTTAAGAAGATCTTCCAGAACATAGAACAAGATAACAGAGAGATGGAAAAGATAAGCATACAGAGGATTCATCCAGACAGTCCTAAGTCTTACCAATAGAAATCCAGAGAGAATATAGGAAGTGCAGGAAGGTAGTGGGGGTGGAAGGTGGAGATAATCAAAGAAATAATAGAAGAAAATTTTTCCTGACTTAAAAATGTGAGACCAAGAACAAAGCAGGATGAATGGAAATTATCCACACCTAGACATACTCTCATAGAATTTTAGAACTCCATGGACAAAGAGAGATCCTGAAAACATTTGGATGGTTAAAAAACAACAAACAGACAAACAGACAAACAAAAACCCAACAACAGGTAATCTACAAAGGACTATATCTTCACAGTTCTGAACCTAGATTCTTTACCAGTCAGATTACAAGCAAGTTAGAAAGCAGAATAAAAACATTTTCAGACATGAAAGCTTTTCCCCATGTATCTTCCCTTAGAAAATTACTCGAAGATGTTATCCAGCTAAATGAGGGGAAAAAAACAAAAAAGAGGAAGCCACAGAATCTAAAAACAGTGGCTCTGTCCCAGGGGAGCAAAGAAGGAAAATTCCAGGATGACAGCTGTGCTGCAGACCTAGGATGCAATTAAGCCCGATCCAAGCAGGAAAATGGAAGGCTCCAGGGAGATGTCTGCAGGAATAAAAGGGAGGAGCACTGCAGTAAATTTCAAGATTAGTAGAATTGAAAAACTTGAGGATATAGTGAAGGCACATTATTCTTTTATCAACAACAAAAAAAGGCAATTGGAAACTCCAGGGAAAATGAAAAGCTGATGAGAAATTTACAGACCAAATATGAAGATGAAAATTTCATCTAATCTTAAGCAATGATGGATGTACAAAAAAGAGAATCCATTTGATTTGACTTTGATGCTAAGACCATTCTCCTTTAAATGGCTCAATGATCAGGTATTTGGACTTGAAGTTTAGTAAACAATATATTTTTTTTAGTTCCGAAGTTGAGACTAGGAGTCCCTGGGTGGCGCAAATGGTTAAGTACTCGGCTACAAGCCAAAAGATTGATAGTTCAAATTTACCCAGCGGCACCTCAGAAGAAAGTCATGATGATCTACTTTGGAAAGATCACAGCCATTGAAAATCTTATGGAGCACAGTTCTACTCTGAAACACATGGGAATTGACTCAACAGCAACCGAGGAAAAAAATTGTTGAAAGTGAGCGTAGGTAGATTTTTTTTCCTCTTCTAGTTGACCGTTATCAGAGAACACAGGTAGACCAGCTCAGGACTAAACAATGCCTTCTGCTCACTTCCAGATCCTAAGGAGGAGGAAAAGGGGAAAGTTACTAACCCAGGGAAGAGGGAGGAAGGTTAGAAGTGAGGTGTGGGATATACAGAGGGGGTGGGTGGCATCAGAAGAGGGCTGGGTGTACCTTCTCAGCTCAGAGGCAGGACAGCAGCTCAGCTGGTGGAGCCAGCAGGTGTTCTGGCGGCAGCTCAGACAGTGGGCCTGTCTAGTTACATCAGGCCATCTCAGAGATGGGCCAGAGGGCTCGCTCCTCATGGTGCAAACCGGGTGTAGCTACGGCTCTTAGGTTAGTGCATTTGAGCACAAGAGATCCTCCAATCCTTTTAAAGTAAACTCTCACTGAAACCCAATGACACCTCAAATAATACCCCAAATACTGATTTGCATATAAATAGAAACTACTGTGACAAATTGGATCATCTTAACCAAAAGGTTGGCAGTTCGAATACTCCAGCTGCTCCTTGGAAACCCTATAGGGCAGTTCTACTCTGTCCCAAAGGGTCGCTTTGAGTCGGAATCGACTCAATGGCAACGGGTTTGGTTTGGTTTGGTTACCTCATAGCTTAAGGCCTACTGCCTTCTGTTAATTCAGGTAATAGTCTGGTGGCAAATGGAAAGACCTAGCATTTGTTTGGAGGCCCTCAAAGGGGAAGTGTCCCTCAGGACTCTATCAATCCAACAAGGAAATTACTCCTAGTCTCACTTTCTCTTTTAAATGTTTCAGGAAAAATCTGAGAGGCATTGTGAGAACTTTTTAGAAGGGAGATGTGTGTATATGGGGGTGTGTGTTTGCTTTGTACCACATCAAAGAAGGGGTGCCTTAGTCAGGGAAGTGGGGGTGGGGAGGTGTAGTGGCTGGGCATGACCTGCTTCAAATCTGGGCGGAAGTTTTCTGCCCCAGAAAAGCAGTGATTGTAAGATTGTAAGCAAGTGCCCAGTCCCCAGGCAGGAGATGTTGCGGTCCAGTGGCAAGTGCTTTGGACTGGGACTCGGGATCCTTTTGTTCTGGCTGTAGCTCTATCCCTGCCTTTCTAGCTGTAAAACAACGTGGCTGGGTCAGATCAGAGGTGACCAGCTTGAACTGGCCCTCAAAGACATTTTGTCTGGCCACCACAGCAACCTAACCATCGCCCTCCTAATACTCGGGAGAAATGAAAATACATGTCCACACAAAGACTTGCACAAGAATGTTTGTAGCTACATTATGACATAATATAATTTTATAATATTCATCATATTTTAATAATATAATACATAATATGTGTTATGAGTATACGGTAGCCCCAACTGGAAACAATCCCATGTCCATTAACTGGTGGATGGAGAAATATTGCATGGTGGTGCATCTATGCGATGACATGCTATCCATGCAGCATGAATGAATTTCAGGAACATGCTGAGAAACAAGCTAGACCCCAAAGAGAACGTACCAAATGATCCCATTTACAGGAAATTGTAGACCAGGACACTGATCTCTAGTGACATAAAGCAGAGTGGCTGCTTGGGTTTGTGGAGGGATGATGGACTGCAGAGCGGCACTGGGGGATTTTCTCAGGGTGATGGCAATGTTCTAGATCTTGATTAGAGTTATAGTTATATAGAACAATAGCATGTGGGAATATTGTTACACAGAAATATACTATATTTGTCAAAACTCATCATGCTGTACTCTCAGGAGACATTTTCTTATATGTAAATTGTGCCTCAATGAAGCATAAAGGAGCTCTGGTGATGCAATGGTTAAGTACTTGGCTGCTAACCGAAGGGTGGGTGGTTTGAACCCAACCAGCCACTCTGCAGGAGAAAGACCTGGCAACCTGTTCCTGTAAAGATTACAGCCTGGAAAAATCTGTGGGGCAGTTCTACTCTGTCACGTGGGGTCGTTGTGCGTCGGAATCAGCTTGATGGCACCTACCAACAACAACGACAAAGTTGATTTAAAAAGAAAATAAACTTTAGAAATCGAGGCTATGTTTAAACATCAGAAGATTTCATGATGTTTAGTTCTCTTAAATAAAACCAGAAAGTCTAGAGCCACTTGGCCCACCGTCCTGCGTGGTCCCAGTTGGCTGAAGAGGAGTAGCAGCTTCTCTGCTTTGATCTGGTGAAACACAAATTGGATGGTCTCAGTCAACTCTTGCAGTAGGAACAATGCATCACAAACGACCTTGAAATTGCAGCGACCTTTCTCACTCTGCGGAGCAGCTGGGGGGCACTGCTAATCTCACCAGGCTGGAAGGTTTGATTTGGATTTGCCCTGCATGTTTCTCATCCTTCTGGGACCAGTGGGGGCTCCCCATGGGCAGGGACGGATTACTCGAAAAGCAAGGTACACACAGGCTTAATTGTGCTTACATACGAATCTGTAGTGACCAATTTCACATGTGGTGAGAACCAGGTGAAACTGGTCCCTACAGATTAGTAAGAAAACACAATTAAGCCCATGGTACCTTGCTTACTGGTTAATCTGCCCCTGCCCACGGGGGCACGGTCTCCCCATTGCCCTGGCACCCACACCACCATCGAAAGAACCTCGTGCCCATCAGCAGTCACTCCTCACCCCACCTCCAGCCCCAGACATCCCCTCGTCTACTTTCTGTCTCCATGGATTTGCCTTTTCTGCACGTCATGTAAGTGGAACTACACTTTCTTTCGCTGAGCATCACGTTTGTGGGGTTCATCCGTGTGGTAGCAGGTATCAGCACTTCCTTCTTTTTATTGCCAAATCGTTTTCCATTGTATGGATAGACCACATTTTGTTTATCCATTTACCAGCTGGTGGACATTGGGGTTGTTTCTACTTCTTTGACGATTGTGAATAACACTGCTATGGATATTCATGTGCAAGAGACTCATCTGTTTTAATGTGGCCTGCAAGGCCCATGGGGGGCTCCATATCAGCCTCTCTGTCTTCCCACAGCAATTCCGATGTATTGTCCTCCCTGCCTCCCACCTCTGGGCCTTGTCACCTTTTATTTCCTCTGCTTAGATCAATCCCACCCTCTTCACAGCGCTCCCCTCCTCAGGGAAGCCTTCCTGATCAGACGAGGGTGAGTCCCCATTACAAGGATCCACAGCTGTCTCGAGTGAGTCACGTCTGTAAGCCCCACCAGGCTGTGAGCTGGTGGAGACGAGGACTTTATCTATTCAGCTCTCTGCTGTCTCCTAGCGCCTCCACAGTCCCTGATACATAGTAGGTGCTCAACAAAGAATCACTGCATGGAGGGAAGGAAGGAGAGACGGAGAGAGGAAGGGACAGACAGCAGGACACCAGCCTGGGTCGGTCCCTGGGAGTTACTAGTCTCTGCTGGTTAGGGCTTTCCTGGACCGCTTCTAAGACATCGCCACCCCCTGCAGGTACAGCTTCGAGGGACACCACCTATGAGCTGCCTCCCTCGGGGACCCACCCTGACTGCCTCACCAGCCCAGAGGACAGTGAGACGCCCTCCAGGTGACTCCCCGGTCCCTTCTGTCCATTTGGCTGCCACAGGGTGGGGCTGTCCCTGCCATGCCCGGGGGATGACTGGGTGCAGTTGACTTGGGATGGAGGTGGGGCCTGGACTGGATCCTCTGTGCCAAGCCTACAGGTCACTTTGGAGACCTGCTAGGCACCATTAGAAAGCTAGAAGGTCAAGGTGCCTGCAGAGACTGTGGGCAGAGGGCCTGGGGACTCTGACCTTGTCTGCACAATCTCCATAGAAAGGAGACTATTCCTGAGCACACACTTCTTTTTTCCATCTTGATATTCAGTTCTACCTCTGACTTCCCTCCCAGCAGCACCACCACCCCCGCCCTGATGTCCCGACTAGACTCCCAGACCAGTAAGAGGCATGGAGGGAGCCCCACCCATGCCTGGGAGGACACCTCCACCCCAACCGGGGCTCCCATTGCTGTCTCTTCCATGGAAAAGCCTGTTCGGGTTGCAGGTAATAACTGCCCCCATGAAGTAGGGACTTCCTTCCGGGAGGCCTTCTCCCAGGGCAGCAGCCTCTGCTGTGTGTGGACATAGTGGGAGAAATCAAGGTTGACCCAAAGATTTCTGGTTTTTTGAGTTGAGATTGTGGCTCTGCCACTTGCTAGTGATGATTCTTGAATTCTTGTGTGCAAGGATTTTATTCACAGCTGCATCCCTATGACCCATAGTTTCTACTCAGAAAATATTTTGTTGAGTGATGATAGCATGGCCTTGAGCTGGTTGCTTAATTACTTTAATCCTCTGTCTTCTCATCTGTAAAATTGTTAAGCATAGACCCTGCAGGGTTGTGACCAGTGTAGTATGGATTGTTACCAGGATTATAAGCAGTTAAACCAAAGGCCAGTTGTCACTGGGTTAACCCTGACTCATAGTGACTCCACGTGTGCTGAGTAGACCTGTGTTCTACAGGGTTTTCAATGGCTGATTTTTCTGGAAGGACATCACCAGGCCTTTCTCCCAAGAGCATGTTAACCATTTGCACCACCCAGGGACTCCGCTAGAAACATTGTGTGCCATCAAATCGATTCCGACTCATAGTGACCCTGTAGGACAGAGTAGAATTGCCCCATAGCATTTCCAAGGAGCAGCTGGTGGATTTGAACTGCCGACCTTTTGGTTAGCAGCCAAGCTCTTAACCACTGCAGCACCAGGGCTCCCCAAAAAAACCAGTTGCCATTGAGTTGACTCTAATTCATGGTGACCCTCTGTGTGTCAGAGTAGAACTGTGCCACCAGGGCTCCACCCGCTAACTAGGGCTGTTAGCTCCTTAAATAGCAAGCAATTCACTTTAGGATTTGCAATTCTAGTAGCTGCCACTAGGTGGTGGTAATACCCTAGGCCAGTAGTTCTCAAAGCGTGATAGTGGACCTGCTGCACACCACCTGGGAACTTGTTTGCTGGAGTCGATTCTAGCTCATAGCCATCCCATGTGTGCAGAGCAGAACTACTCCATAGGGTTTTCAAGGCTGTGTCCTTTCAGAAGCAGATCACCAGGCCTGTCTTCCGAGGCACCTGTGAGTGAATTCTAACCACCAACCTTTGGGCTAGTAGTTGAGCACTTAACCATTTGTGAACTTGTTAGAAAAGCAAATTATCGGCCCCACCCTAGACCTACTGAACCGAAACCTGCATTTTAACAAGATCTCCAGGGGATTCATATGCACATTAAAGTCTGAGAAGACTCACCTAGCATGTATTACTTTTTCAACATCTAAAAATGGACTTAAAACAGTAATTAGATATATATTTTTACAAGCGACAAAAGAAAAAAAAAGAAGGAAGCAGGTTAGGTACTAAGATGTAAAGAAATACATCCAGATAGCAGTTAAGAGCATGGACTCTAGAGTCTGCCTGGCTTGGACTGAGCCTTGACTGCCATTTACCCTCAGGGTGACCTTGGGCAAGGTACTTAACGTTTATGAGCCTCAATTTCCCTGGTTTGTAAAATGGAAATAGCAATGGTGCCTACAGCATAGGGCTGTTGATTCGTTCACTTAAGGGGCACTGGCTGAGTGTTGTTTGTGTGTAGAACAGACCACCTACCTGCCCTCTTGGAGCTTAGAGTCTAGCAGGGAGGCCAGGAGCTGTGAAGTACATAGACACACTCACTCACTTTACCCATCCTCACTGCTCTGCCTTCCTGACCCTGACCTTGGCCACACAGTGAGTGCTGCCAGCTGCCCAGGGCTGCTCACCGCACTGTGCCTTCCTCCACAGTCTCTAGGCTTTGTTCTTTCGGACTTAATCCCTTCTTTCTTCTGGCTTCTTCACTCCTTAATTTCTTACCCTCTAGGGATATTTGGAGTCCCTGGGTGGTGCAAACAGTTAACGTGCTTGGCTGCTAACCAAAAGAAAGATTGGTTGTTTGAGTCTACCCAGAGGCACCTTGGAAGAAAGCCCTGGAGATCTATTTCTGAAAAATCAGCCCTTGAAAACCTTATGAAGCACAATTCTACCCTGACACACATGGGTTTACCTAAAGTCAGAATCGACTCCATGGCAACTGCCTCTGGCTGGTGCAAGCAGTTTGTGCTTGACTACTAACCTAAAGGTCGGAGGTTCGAACCTAGCCAGTGGCACTGCAGAAGAAAGCCTGGCAAACTTCTTTTGTAAAGATTACGGACAAGAAAATCCTATGGAGCACAGTTCTACTCTGTACCACACGGGGTCACCATGAATCAGAATTGACTTGACGGCAACAGGCTTGGGTTTTTTTGGTTTAGGAATAGTTTGCTCTTCTCGAAACTTATTTAGTCAGCCCTGAAGGGCTGCCTGGAGCCAGGTAAGGAGGCAGGTGGATGAGGGCTAGGTCAGATACAGGGGCTGGGTTTCAGTCCTGGCTTGGACAAGGATCGAGTGCTGTCAGCCACAAGAGAATCCAGGTCCCAGGGGATGGAGGAAGCAGTCCAGCCCCAGGGCTGTCCTGTGTGGCTGTAGCTAGGGCTTCGGCTCACTGCTGTCGGCGCAGGGCAGAGCTTGCAGTGCCTCTTTGTGTTTCAGGACCCGTGCTTTTCTGGGTGACCATGGTGCTGCTGGTGCTCGTGGTCTCCGGCAACTTCCTCCTGTGCCACTGGAAGGCCTGTAGGAAGGGGATTCGGCAGAGTAAGTGGACAAGTCTGGGGGCCTGTGGAGGACTGAGAGGGCTGCTTGCTGCTAGCCTGGCCTGGGTCCCTGCCGTGGCACCCCTAGCTCTCCTTCTGGTGTCGTTTCAGAGCTCCACCTGTGCTTCCCAGGCCAGACCATCCGGCCCAAGCCGCAGCCTATGGGTAAGTGTTCAGAGGGCCCAAGGGGCTGCTTGAACCAGCTGGACACGAAGCCACTGTAAACCTTGGGTTTGGGCTCAGGAGGCTTAGCTTCTTCTCCGAACCCAGCCTCGTGACTCCACTGGTCTGTCCTCCCAACCTTGTCTGTGATGGGGATAAAAAGTGGGTGGGTGAAGACTGTGTGACACACCCCGTACAGAGCTATTTCGATGGGGTGCTGGTATGAAGGTTTAGAAGTCTGCCTTTCATTCTTTCCTCTGTAGTAACCGCCAGGAGAGGCATTCCTCAACACCTTCCCCGCCTCCCTGCCTCCCTCCCTCCCTCCCTCTCCCCATCTCCTCCTTCTCCCTCTCCCCTTCCTTCCCTCTCTCCCTCTCTCTCCTTCCCTTCCTCCCTCTCCTTCTCCTCTCCTCCTTCCTCTCTCCCCTCCCTCCCTGTCCCTTCTACCTTCTTCCCTCTCTCCCCTCTCTCCTCCTTCTCCCTCCCTATCTTTTCCCCCCTCTCTCTCCTTCCCTCCCTCCTCTCCTCCTTTCTTCTCCCTCCCCTCTCCTTCCTCCATTCCCCCTCCTCACCTCTTCCACTGACTTCCCAGGGAGCAGAAGGGCATAGAGGGAGGAGGGCAGGCGATAGGCTGGAATTCTTGTTCTACCCCTTACAAGCTACTTTGGGTGAGTTACTTACCTTCTCTGTGTCTCAGTTTCCTCATCTGTAAAATGAGGAGAGTGGCAGCTACTTCACAGGGCTGGTGTGTGGACTGATCGATGTAGGGCCTGTGAGGTCCTTCCCACAGTGCCTGCCCACAGTCAGGAACAGAGGCAGCCGTGTGATGGCAGGCCCTGCTATGCCTGGGTCCTCTTCTCTCACCAGGAATCCCAGGCCTTCCTGAGTTCTAGGCTGTTCTGAAGCCCTCCTTGGTTCTTGCTCTCTGATAGGCCAGCTCTCCCAGGCAGCAGATGGGCTCTGGCCATCTTGCACCAGTGTCTTCTCTCCCTTGTGTAGCCCCCTGTGCCCTTCAGGACAGGGCCTGGTCTTCCTCAACATCCCCCAAGCACTGACTGAGCACCTGTTGTGTGCTGGGCCCTGAGCATGAGGGAAGGAGGAACATGAATTGCCTGATCTTCTGTGGACATTCTGCTTTACAAGGCTCCCGGAGAGGGCCTCCCTGACTCCTCCTGGGAACCCCAGGGGAGTCCGTGTGATGACCTTCATTCCATAAGGAGATGGCCCTGGAAGGTGGATGGCCGGCCTGGGCTACATGGCCAGACTTAGCCCTGGCCCTGGAGGCGGCTTGACCAGCCTTGGTTTGTTTGTAGAGGGCTCAGTTCTGTCCCATCTTCCTCCCTCCTCCCAGCGTTGTCCCTACCCCAAGACTCCCCTCCCTGCCCCCAAATCCCCAAGACCCTTGAGAGCCTCCCTCTCACCCTAATTTGGACTTGGGCACAAAAATGAAGTTGCACTGAGACGTGTTTTGAATTTGATGAGTTTCAAAACCAGGAGCTTGTGTTCCCTTTGCTAGGGGGGTTTTTGTGTTTTGACAGTTTCAAACCTTTTTCCATGAGCTGTCAGCCTCAGTGTCTCATTGAAACTCGCGTTTGCTTTCTTGACATTTTTCTAGTTGTAGAGTTTCCATTGCTGTCAGTCTGTTTTTTTCTTCAAGCCTTCGTGGTAGCAATTTTGTTGGAAAAAAAAAGAAAAGAAAGAGGAGAAAGGCAAAGAAAACACCTTCCCTTAAGAAGGCAGACCTGGAACTGAGCGTGGAGACTCGGTGACGGCCACCCTCGCTCGGAGCCGATTCTGGCCCTCTGGCTTCCTTGGGGGTCCGTTGGGGTCTGGGAGACCAGGCCCAAGATGGAGGTGAGGTCAGGGTAAGCACACAGGGCACAGGATGAGGACAGACTGGGCAAGATGGAGCCCCATCCCTGGAGCAGTGGGTGCTAACGGGCTAAAGGAACATGCGTTCATCTGTTCGATCGTGCATCTGTTCAGATCATCTTCACTGAGCTCCTCTTAGGTGCAGGCTCTGGGTGGGAACAGAAACTGGCCTTGCTCTCCAAGCTGTCAGTCTAGTGTCAATTACTGTCACATTCTGTTGTTGTTGTTAGTTGCCACGTGCAGAGTAGAGCTACTTGATAGGGTTTTCATGGCTGTGACCTTTGGGGAGCAGATCACCAGGTCTTTCTTCCGAGGCACCTCTGGATGAGTTTGAACTGCCAACCTTTCGGCTGGTAGTTGAGTGTTTAACCATTTGTGCCACCCAGGGACTCCAATGTCACATTCTGTTGTTGTTGTGGTTGTGTACCATTGAGTTGATTCTGACTCACAGCGACCCTATTTGACAGAGTAGAACTACCCCATAGGGTTTTCTAGACTGTAATCTTTATGGGAAGGAGCCCTAGTGGTGCAATGGTTAAGCACTCGGCTGCTAACTGGAAGGTCTGTGGTTCAAAAGGTCGGGAGAAAGATGTGGCAGCCGGCTTCTGTAAAGACTACAGCCTTGGAAACCCTATTGGGCAGTTCTACCCTGTCCTACAGGGTACCTATGAGTTGGCATTGACTTGATGGCAACGGGAATCTTTATGGGAGCAGACCTCCAGGTCTTTTCTACCACAGAGTTGCCAGTGGGTTCGAACCACCCATCTTTTGGTTAGTAGCTGAGCGCTTAACCGTTTGTGCCACCAGGGCTCCTGTCACACTCTAGAAGGGGCGAAAGGCAAACAGGATGGGAGTGTGTGCCCCATCCCTCCATCACCTGGAACTCTAGGGCTAGGGGATCTCATGATGCTTAAACAGTGCCTACTAGATGCTCACCAACCAGCTCTGGAATTAATTTGACTTCATTGCCTGTGTCCTTCGTGGCAGGCATTGGTGAAGTACTGATGTTATCCCATTTTATTCCTCTCATCAGCCTTGTAAGGCAGGTACTGCTATTGTCCCATTTCACAGATGAGGAGACTGAGGCACAGGAAGGTACTTAAAAGTAACTTGTCTAAGGCCGCTTGGTTAATAAGTAGTAGGACTAGGATTTTGTAGTTGTTGAGATTTGGGTTTAAAAAGGGTTTCTTTACCTCAGCACTATTGACATTTGGGACCAGATAATTATTTGTTGCGGGGACTGTCTGGTGCACTGTAGGATGTTTAGCAGCCTCTGCCTACCAGATACTAATAGCATCTCCCCAGTTGTGATAACCCAAAAATGCTTCCAGACATCACCAAATGTCCCACCCGTCTAAATTCTTGTAAGTCTTCATTTTAATGGGCACTAGAGTCGTTATTTTGTCTTTTATTACAGACAGATTTAAGTTGAAAAAAACTTTTTGTTGTTGTGAAAAATTTCAAACTTACAGAAAAGTCATAAGTCCAGTACAAAGAACTTATTTTTCCCAAACCATCTGAGAGTCTGTTGCTGACCTGCCTTATAACCCCCGAATACTTTAGTGTGCACTTCATATAAACAAGAACATATTTTTGCACAACTGTAATAAAACCATCAAAACCAAGGAGTTCACATTGATGCATGACCACTAGCTAATCCTTAGATCCATTTGAGTTTTTCCATTTGTCCCAATAATGTCCTTTTGCAGCAGAAGAATCCGGTTCAAAGTTACATGTGTCATTTAGTTGTCAAATCTCTTTATTGTTATTGTTATTGTTAGTTGTGGTTGACTAACTTATGGTGACCTTGTGCATAACAGAAGGAGACATTGCCCAGTCCTGCACCATCTTCAGGATTTTTGGTACGCTTGAGTCCATTTAGGCTCTTCAGTCTCTTTCAGTCGGGAACAGTTCCTTAGTCTTCCCCTTGACTTTCATGACCTTGACACTTTTGAAGAGTACCCAAGTGATTTTGTGGATGTCCCTCACTTTGGGTTTGTCTGACGTTTCCTCATGCTTGGACTCAGTTGTGTATCTTTGGCAGGAAGATTCGAGAAGTGATGCTGAACTCTGCTCACTGCAGCCTGCCAGGTTTCAGTTTGTCCCTTTCCTGGCGATGCTCGCTTTGCACACACAAGGCGGCGTCTGACAGGCTTCTCCACTGGGAAGTTACTCTGCTTCTTGATAATTACTAAGTACTTTGTGGGAAGGTGCTTTGAGACTATGTAAATAACCCGATCCTCATTGAACTTTCGTCTTATGTATTTATATATTTACGTCTGTATGGGCTCTTTTATTCAACGGGTTATAATCTGTTACTGTCATTACTTTGATGCTCAAATTGTCCCTGATTAGGCCAGTGGGAGCCCCTTCAAGCTAGCTCCTGGGTCCCTCTTCCATACCTCCATCCTTTTGTTGTTTGAGCACTTCTTTGCTTTAAGATGTTTGTCTTAGTTACCTAGTGCTGCTGTAACAGAAATACCACAAGTGGATGGCTTTAACAAACAGAAATTTATCTCATCACAGTCTAGTAGGCTAGAAGTCTGAATTCAGGGTGCCAGCTCCAGGGGAAGGCTTTCTCTCTTTGTCGGCTCTGGAGGAAGGTCCTTGTCATCAATCTTCCCCTGGTCTAGGAGCATCTCAGTAAGGGGACTCTGGGTCTAAAGGACACACTCTGCTCCTGGCACTACTTTCCTGATGATATGAGATTCCCCTGTCTCTCTACTTGCTTTTCTCTTTTATATCTCAAAAGAGATTGACTCAAGATGAAACCTAAGCTTGTAGATTGAGTCCTGCCTCGTTAGCATAACTGCCTCTAATCCTGCCTCATTAACATCATAGAGGTAGGATTTACAACACATAGGATAATCAGTTGACAAAATGGTGGACAATCACACAATACTGGGAATCATTGTGTTTTAGTCATCTAGTGCTACTATAACAGAAACACCACAAGTGGATGGTTTTAACTAGAGAGGTTTATTTCCTCACAATCAAAGTAGGCTAAAAGTCCAAATTCAGGGCGTCAGCTTCAGGGGAAGGCTTTTTCTCTCTGTCGGCCTTCTTCTCTTCAGTGTTCCCCCAGACTAGGAGCTTCTCTGCGCGGGGACCCCAGTCCAAAGATACGCGCT